TTAATTTATCAAGAAATCTTTTAAGCCCTCTCATGGTGAGGTTGTTCTTGCTCTACCTGCCAATTTAAAATGGGACCTGGTGGTGGTGATTTTATTAATGCTTCCTTGTGTGGTGTGGTGTGCATGGGGACAAGCTCTGGAGATGCTGTTTGGTCCTGCACGGGCTGGGAGGGCAGCTGGAATTTCCACTGGATGCTCTGCTGCTGCCAAAGGCTTAGTTTGTGACTGAACTATTTCAGTGGTGTTCTGATGTGCTGTCCCTTGGTGCCACTTCACTGGAGCAGATGTTTGTGCTGCTCAGTTGTTTCAGGTGGGCGAGAGCTTTCAAGCTCTTCTTTTGATGGCCCTTTGGTCTTCCACCAGCATCACCATCAAGCAAAACTCTTATTCTTTGCTCAGTTGGCTTTCTTCTGCCAGGGAATTGAAATAAATATGCTCTTGTGTCATTTATGCACCCGTGGAATATAAGGTATGTTGCTGAGGCTTGAACCATTTACAGATTTGTGAGGTTTGGGCAAAACTATTGTTTTTGGAGCATCTACTTTGATTCATGACTGCAAAAGCAGTTGTGTAAAGAGGAAAAAAAAAAAAAAAAAAAACCTGAAGTGGAAACGCTGCCAAACTCGTATCGCTGTGCTAAGTCTGCAAAAGTATCTGCTATTGGGAAATAGAAGCTGGAGTTTGAATTTCTGCAGGTTTCATCCTAAAGCTGCCGTGTTTAGGAAACAAAACCAGCCATGAAATGGAAAGAGGCAACATGAATTGATCAATAAATAATTTATCAATACCACATCTCAAGGAGGTGGGAAAGGATTTTGTTGGAGGACTGAGCCCAAGTTGTTCTTAAATGGTTTTTCCCTGCAGGGAATGCTGAAATGGAGACAGGAGCTGACTCCCAGCGTGCGATGAGAAGTTGATACTCTCTCGTATGTTTTGTCGGAAATAACTGCAAGAATTAACCATGCAGGTTTTCTTGATGGATGAAAACATAAATGGATAAAGTACTGCAAACTGGCATTTAGCAAATTACACTGCTTGGAAATTTGGATTTAAGCTGATGTCCTAATAATCTTTAATTTATAATGCACTTATGCGTTTAAGTGCATCCAGGTTGCTCCTTCCAATTCATACTTTCTTATTTTGACAGCAGAACCAATTTAACTCGGATATTAGTGATCAAGCTTCCAGTTCGATTAAGTTCTATTAAATTAAGGGGTTTTATTTCAATTAATAACACTTCTTCGGAGACATCCAGCCCTTTGCAGGATTTCCTATCCCTGTATCTCCAGCTTGCATTGGTGTGCCCGAGCATGGCAACGTAGATGATGCTAGGAAATGTAAATACCTCCAGTGCAAAGCAGTGGTGAAGTGGGATCTGTTTGAAGCACGTTTGGGACTTGTCTGCTTTGTTAACCTAAAGAAAAAATTAAAAATGAAAAATTAGAAGATTCAGAACACTCACTGCTGAAGGATTGTTGGCGTTTCTCTCCAGGCGGGGTTTTTTTATGGGTGTTTTGTCCCTTAGAGTGCCCTGAGAATTGCAGCAAGATGGCTGCTTTACTCAGGTTTCCTTCCTGTCTGGCTCTCACCAGGCTCGCTGCCCCGAGCTCCAGGCGATCTTCCTCGGCTTCAACATGTAAAATTTAATAGGTGGCTGTTTGTAAATGAGATCTGCTGCTTCAGCTTTCATCAAACCACCTTTAGAGGCAAACGGGGGATTTGAACGTCTTTGCTTTTCTGTTGCTCACCGGCTGTTTCTGGCTGCTTTACTTATTAATTTTTTTCTTTATAAACTGAAAATAAACCTTTGTAAAAGCACACTTCTCCCTGCTGCAGCTTCAAGCCCAAGTAGTAATCCCGTCTGAGCGGCATCGTAGCCTGTTTGTAAGTAATCTTTGTGGCGTGAGTCTCGCAGGCAGTAATCCTGCGTACCAGATGAGAGGCCCGTCCAGTTTCAGAGCAGAAACCACAACTGCGTAGTCCAGTGGTGTTTAAATATCCTGTTAATTTTTGCAGCGCTGGGGGCAGTGTCCGCAGTGATTGCTGAGGGCTCATAGCAGATCCAGTATCAAAACAGGAGTTGAAATATCGAATTCTTTTGATGGTTTTTCAGCCCTGTATAACCGAGCTCTAGGACACAGCTGCCCTGCAGCAGCTGACCTCTCGCTGTGTAGATGCTGTGATTTACTCCCAAATAATTGCAAGGTAAGTGCATGCAAGCAGTTAATGTGGAGCAGCTGTCACCCTGTACCTTGCTGGTGTGCCCTGCCTTCAATGGGAACAATCCTTAATGCCAGAGGTTTTTGAATTTGTCTTTAACTGTGGTTTCTGTTATGCAAACCAAGCCTCTTAGTGCTGCCTTCTTTCCTCCCCGTCATCAGTGCTCCCTGCGTAATGCCCCCTCATGTTGTCTTGCTGTCCATGCTGCCTACGAGCAAGGGCACGGTTGTGTTAATCCTTGCCTTTTGTCTCAGTGAAACAACTAGGTAAGTTGTGAGTACTAGGTCATGGATGTGACAAGCAGAGAAAGCAGGCAGCTCAGCTGTTTCTGGTAGAGCTTGTCATGCTGCCGGTGTTTCCTTTTTTATTTTTAATTAACATGTAGAACAAATACTGCTGTAGCTAGAGGGCCTAAAGCCCAGAAAGCCACTGAAAGCTACCCCTCGCACCGTATTTGTTATAATGCACCAAGCCAACAGTGCTGGTCTCTGGATTATAATCCTAAATAGTGTGCTGTTTTGTACACTGCCGTCACAGAGAGAAAAGAGCTTGCTTGTGATGCTGGGTTACTTGAAGGGGCGGTCTGATCTGGGGAAACTTGTTTAGGAAAGCTGCGGTGGCACTTCATTGGATAAATGGAGAAGCCACAAATGGAAGGAGACCACATGTCCTTTGATGAGCGGTATTTGCTGAATTTGCCTTGTCGTACTTGATCATCACTGCTTATATGGCATAACTTATTCTTCAGGGCAGGGAGAACCTGTCTTGTTGTCATCTTTAAAAGGAAAAGTTGGGCAGAGACCACTGCCTCAGTCACCTCGTAGCCCATTAAGTGATGAATGGGTATTCCCAGAAGCCCTAATACAGTGGCCAAGTGGGCTGCTGTAGCAGAAGGTAGGACAAAACTTGAGGCTGATGTAAAGCTCTCTTAATGCTGTTGCTTGAGAAATTAAGAAAAGGCCGTTTCTTTGTGCATCTGGCAGACCTCTGGTCTGAGTGGAGAGTCTGTGTTTGAGAAGAGCTGTGTGCTTTGCCACCTGAAATGTGTGTGTAACTCCAGCAGGGGTGAGGGGCTCCAATACTGTGATTTATACATGTGAGAGGGCTGGAGGGATTACATGGAGAAACCTGTGTGTGCTGTCTGCCTGGTTTGTTTAGGAGACTTCCCAGTTTGAGGCAAGACTTCTCCAAGAACATGGAGATTTTATTAAAAGTAGAAGTTGTGCTGACTATAGGAGCTGGTATCATAACCAAGATAACCCAGAGATAGTATCAGTTAGTTTACTAAGGTAAATTTTCATCTTTAATTTACTCTGGCAAGCGTGCTTGTTAAGCGAGTTATTGAGAGCTTCTTTAGGTACTGCTATGTAGTGCAGGCTCTGGGCTGGATCAGGGATTGATGCTATTGGGAAGCTTTTTCTTGGGTTTTTTCCCTCACGATGTGGGTTTCCTTGCTGGTTTAGCAGGTTCCTGTACAGCTGCAGCAGCTTGAGCAGCGTGTGGGCCAGAGCGCCTGTGTCAGCCCTGCTGCCAGGGCGAAGGGTGAGGATCTCCTTAGGAGATGCAAATGGTGCAAAAAGCATCCTGTAGCCCAAAGAGCTGCTTACCCTCACCTCTGGGTCTGTATAGGTAGACTGGGGCCATGTTTTAGCTATGTAGACTGTTTGGCAATACTGGTTTCTTGGTTTTCTGCCCCAGATTTGCCATCCCAGCTGTTTATGGACTGAACCAGGAACCTGGTCTAAAGCTGCTTTTGTTCACATGGGCTTTTTAAGCTGGAAAAATGTCTTAATTTGGCCTTAAACAAGCTGTGCTGGCACTAAGAAGACAAGCAAGAGAAGTGTCACTTTTATAAGTATAAACCACAAGATGACTTCTTTGTGCTTACGTTTTTGACCCTAGCACTTTATTTCAGTGAATCTTTTGTTGATGTCCCTCTTGTTCCCTCCTGTCCTCTCCCTTGTGCTAATGCAGCTGTGTGTGTGGGCAGGCAATCCAACAGATTGGGGATCTGATTCAGGGGAAAAAAGGTGAATTTCCAAGCCAGTGATGTGCAGCATTGCACTGTGAGGTGTAAGATTGAGCGCAGGATGTGGAAGCGTGTGGCTTTGTGTATGGGGTAAAGGGGTAAGGATGGGGTGAGATCACTGCTTTGGGTGGCAATATTGCCTTTTGGCAGCTTCAAGTTGTAGCAGTAGCCCGCAGGCTCAGAAAAATCCCATTGCTCGTTTATGTCCTACTTTTCCACGGCTTCAGTGTCCATTGAAAATGCACCCTAGGGCAAACTTACATTTTGGTGTCAAATGGCAAAGTACACGTGGTTGAGCTCAGGGCACTTGCTGTTGCCTCTGTTGCGTGTAAATGGTCCTAAAACTGAGTCCAAACATCAGATTTTGGGAGCTAAAACACGGTTTTGGGGTGTAACAGAAGCCATATGATTTGTTTCTTGGTTCATGTAACCCAACCCTTGGTTGATGACACAGATTTAGTTGGAAGAAAAACTTGTGTACAAGGGAAACCCACCCTTTATTTCCGGTCCTATTTCTCACCTTCCTAGGCTGTATTTCTTTTCGTAGTTGTATAATTGCATAGCGTTTTCGTGGTCTTGGGGTGCTTCAGGAACATCTGGGGGACTTCAGAGGACATTGGCATCTTACACTGGCAGTCCGTTATTTTCTGGGAGAGTTTTCAGCCCGAGTGTTTTGGTGGTTGGGACTGGGACAAACAAGGAATATTTGTATTCCACAAATGGTGTGGAGCTTGTGGTGAAACCGGCTAGGATGGCTGGCGATTGGCCCGGCCTGCATTTTACAGACAAGGTGGGTTTACGTTGTGTAGGCATGCTGGACACAGATGTTGGCGTTCAAGCAGTAACTGATCTGTTCCTTGAAGATGGTTTGCTTTGTAGAGTTGGTTCATAAACTTGTTTCTGTCTGCCGAGTCAGACTATTTTCCAGTGTATGTTCTGTTCTGTGCAGACACCGCTTGTTACCAGACACATCGGTCACCCCATCTGCTTATTCAAAGGTCTACTTGGTGTTCTCATAACTGTAAACCAACTTAGTCAAGCAGTTCATCAGTTATTTATGACTTTTCTTTTTTATTTCTCTAGAATCCAGCGACTATTACTCGAATACTGCTTAGCCATTTCAACTGGGATAAAGAGAAGCTGATGGAGAGGTAAGCAGCCACCTTAGCGTGCAGCCACATTTCACTTCAGACCTGAAAGAAATGTTTGTTATTGGATTGATGTGAGAATGGATGAGTGCACTGCGTGCAGCAGGAGGATCTCTTGTGCGAGCTCTCAATGTTCCCTCCTTACAGCCTTTCCCAGCTAAGAGTGATTCCTGTTGTTGTTAGTTTTTTAAAATATCAATGATGCCCATTAAGACTTCAGGGAAGCTTTGGAAGTTACCTGCCCCGTGGAGGAAGGGGTGCCTTCCGGATTGAACACATCCAGGCACGGGGTTTTCACAGGCTCTGGAAAGAAGCAAGCAGGAGCAGGTTCCTGTTATCTGGCAACTGTCTGAGATGTGGTTTTGGCTCAGTGTCATTCTAGCATGCGTATTCCTGGCATGTTTATTTGTTATTCTTACTGAGATGAAATTGTTCCTGACTGATAAGGGTACTGGTGAAGTGATCTGCCTTGATTCATCCGTGCAACTCTAGGTTTTCTTTAGCGTGCGTGGAAATAATGGCTTAAAGTTTACGTCCTCCTAAGAGCAGAGAATTTTTATGGTTATGTCTCATCTTTGATTCCCAGCTCATCACAGAATCACAGAATCGCTCGGTTGGAAAAGCCCTCTGAGATCATCATGTCCAACCAAAAAAAAAATCTACCCGCTCTTTAAATACATCCAGGGATGGTGACTCCACCACCTCCCTGGGCAGCCTGTTCCAGCTTCTGACGACCCTCTCAGTAAAGAACTTCCTCCTTATCTCTAACCTGAACCTCCCTTGGCACAGCTTGGTGCCGTTTCCCCTTGTTCTATCTCCCATCACCTGGGAGAATGGGGTATGTTGGGGTAAAGGGGTAAAACCCGCTCTTTAAATACATCCAGGGATGGTGACTCCACCACCTCCCTGGGCAGCCTGTTCCAGCTTCTGACGACCCTCTCAGTAAAGAACTTCCTCCTTATCTCTAACCTGAACCTCCCTTGGCACAGCTTGGTGCCGTTTCCCCTTGTTCTATCTCCCATCACCTGGGAGAATGGGGTATGTTGGGGTAAAGGGGTAAAATACTCTTGGGGTATGTTCTTGGTAAAGGGACTTTTTATAGTTTGTTATTACACAGTGGAGGTCAAATCCAGCTATGGCGTTGATGCAGGTTGTTTTTCAGTGCCAGTGTTGCTGTTGAAGAGAGTGGGAGGGAGCTGGAGAAATCAGTTTACTTCTAGAAGCTGGGGGAAGAGTTAGTCTGCACCAGAGGGTGTAGTGTACAGGGACTTACTGGGTGTTGTTGTCTTTGCTGGTCTTAACAACAAGTAAGAGACACAACTGGGTGGGTGGGAAGGGAGGGCAGAAGATGGTTTGGGAGTTTAAGTATTTCTGCTTTTCTGGGCTAGTGGATTTAGGACACCTTTAGCCCCCTTCTGTAACACTTCCAGTTAGTGATGGTGCCCAGGTATCTCTTCTCTTCTGTTTGGCCTAGATTTTATTTTTTTTCCTGAAGAGACTGTATTTTTTTAAAGCTTTCTAGTTTGCACCTTATTTTCCTGAGGTTGACCTCTTTTAGTTAATGCTGAAGATACAAAAGCTTTGTGTTACAAATATAGCCACACTGAGGCTATTTAACTCTGACTACAACTGGTAATCATTCTCATTTAGTTGCTTCTCTGTATGTGTGTCTGGGTTTTTTGTATTTTTTGTGCTGCTTCTTCTGATCAGTCTAAAGTTCACTCTCCTTGGCTGCTTCCATCTCACTTTGAGATACCTCTACATAAGTGTACTGAAATGTCATCCCTCTTTTGCAATAGTCTTTTCTTTTTCCTTAAGGCTGCCATCAATTTAAAAATAAAACTGGGCTGTGTGTTTTTACAGATGGGGGTGTCAGCCACTTCTGTGTGAGATGTTATTGTTCAGGCTCTTAAAATTTCCAACCAAAACACTTGAAATACGCGTAAATCTTTACAAAGTCCACAGTAAACAGAGTAAACATTTACTCTTGGCAGGTATTCATTAAAATACTTCATTCTATAGCATTACCCCTATGAGTAAGACAGTACGTGACCCTTTTTAACACAGACCTGTTGCACACTCGTCACAGTTTTGGTGCTGACTGATGTCCTTTTGTATTAGAAAAATCCAAAATGTTTTATTTCAGGTACCTGGTGCTGCTTTCTGCCACTTCTGCACCAAACAGCTACTGTGAAGCCCTGTGCAGTGCCCCACTGATGCTCGGCTGTGCCAGAGCAGGAGTGGGAGGCTGGGGAGATGCCAAGAGCAGTCAAGATTTGTGATTGCTGCAGTAATGGGTGAAGGCAACGGCCAGAGGCAGGGGCTCACTTCGCTAGCTGGGATGCAGAACACTGTGCAGTAGTGATGGAGCTGGAAATGGTGCCACGAGCTAGCTACAGAGCTCATCTTTTTGCTAAAATTGAGGTCGTTCTTGTTCTGACGAATGTGACAAGCTGGTTAAGCCTAAATTTAGGCTTAGTTAGTCCTCAAAAATGGAGATTGCTTTTGGGACTTGTTTGGCTTTGTGTGTGTCTAGCAAATCTTCCTGCAGCGTTGTGCTAGTGGAGATGAGCTGAAAGACACTGGGAAGGGTTCATAGTGAGGTGGAGGGGCGTGCTCTAATCAGGCAAAAATATACATTGAAACTTTACTTTTTTTTTAAGGGAAGAAACCCCAGACTTACTTTTTATTTGAAAGTAACACTGCTCGTGCTGGGGAGCCCCCAGGTTACTGCTGCAGTGCTGTTTCACACAAAGTGAATCCAATGCTGTTGGAGACCTATATAGTTTATTATTTCCTGGGAGAGTCTTACTTGAAACACTGGTCTAAAGTTGGCCTCTTTCACTCCTAGGAACCATTGGGAAGGTTTCCTAGGAAGTTCCTGGTGTTGCCTGCTGTCTGGGTGGGTTTAATGCTTGCTGAGATGTGATGTTTGGGTGCGATTTTTGGTGCTTGATTTCACACCAAATCAGAGCTTGTCAGAGCAACTCTGTTGCTTAATGGCATTTATTTGCAGCACTTCACGGTGTCTGTTTTGCCTTAGCTTATGGTGAGTCAGTGCGGCCTAGCAGGCAGCCTTATCAAAATTGGCCTGTAGTAAAACAGATAAACAAAGTGGCTTCTTTTTTGGTAAGTGTGGTGAGGTCTGAGCTCGAGATGAAAACTTCTACGTTTGAAAAACATGAAAAACATTTCATTCATTGCTTTTTGTGTTGTTATGGATATTTTTAGTAAGTGGGTTATTACTGTCTGTGTCAGCTTTGTCCTGGAGTAATTGCGTGGTGGTGGTAAGAGGGCAGATATGTTACAGGTGTTTATTCCACTTGTAATGAAGTAATAGCCACAGTTGAAAACCTGCCCCATCCGCTGGTGCAGCACTAATTATTTGACTGTGTCCAAAAGCAAAATAGGTGCTTTGGGGTAGGTTTGTTTGTAGGATGAAAGTGGCTACTGGAGGAAGTACTGAAGTTCAGCTTCTACTATGCCACGTGTTTTGGAGAATACAGATATTAATACTATGTTTTCTTCTTTGTTTCACAAGCTTGGTTATAGAGACAGGAGACTAGCAGGCACAGACAGACCAGGTAACCTTAGGAATAAGTGAAGAGGTGCTTTGGATTGTAATTCTGTCTTGATTACCTTCCAGTTTTACCATGGCTGATAGCATCTGTCCCTCGCAAGGGCTGCTTTGGGGATGGACCTTCTCATGGGAGAGACTAAAACGCAGCTCTCCTGCTTTACATGCCTTCCCCTGGTCATTTTGTTTAAAGAAAAGTATTTCAGCTTGTAACCGAAGGCCTGGTTGAATTGAACACGGAGGTGTTGCAGTCCCTCATAGGTGCTTATCTTGGTGGCCACACGTCCCTGTTCCCTCTGAGCAGAGGACAGGTGCCGGGGTGGCCGTGGTGGCTTGGCTGCTAGCCCACATTGCCACTTCCCCTTGCATTCAGGCTCTGACTGCCCTCTGTAGATACCTGGCTGTCTCCTTTCTGTTGGGCAAGTGCATGCTTCACACTATTCAGCAGAGGCTGAACAGGTGAAAAATGGTGCATGGGAGGCTTTTTGGTATGAAGATCTCTTTTTATTGCGAGTGTACGGATTCTCTGACAGTCACACATGCCCTTTCACTAGAGCAAATATCCCAAGATGTGTACTGGAAGCACTTTTTGCAGTGAAAAGGCTTTTTTATCATTGATGCTCCCTTGGCTAAGATTTGATTATGCCTAGAAAACTGTTATTAGGCAGTTAGCAACAGCAGGAGGAAATTTTGAGGATATAGGGAAGCTGACAGCTTGATCCTTCTTCCAAAAAGACATTGTTATTATGGGCTTGGTCTTGGTAAGCAGTGAAGAACTTACAGAACAACTTGGAAATAATTCGCTGTCTGTTTGCTTCAGAGGAGCAAACAACTTTGTGATTAGGAGAATGAATTTTGAAAAACCAATAGAACCCGTTGTTGAAGTCAGCTGTATTGAGTTTTGTAAGAGTCTGCTGTTGACTAGACCAAAGAATTCCTGAGTGTCTGCATTGCGAAGGGAGGAGAGGATCAAGGATTTAAAAGGATGTTAAAGGTGCTGTGCTCTTCCTTAGGATGAAAACAAAGACCAAGCTACCAGGAAGTAGCCCTTTAATAGCGAGAGCTTAAGGAAAAATTAAAACCCCAGAGCTGTGAAGGAAGAAACGAGGGAACTGAAGTCTTTTTCTCCCTTGTTTCACAGCAGAGCTGATGGTGCGCGGCTCTATGATGTGAAATATATAGCATACATTGGGTTCATCTGTTAGTGTGGTGTGTATGGAGTTACTTTGCTCAAAAGGGAAATAGTTTCCATCTAGGTTGCTATCAGTGACTCCCTTATCTGTAAGTTTGGGATGGATGCTTGTTAATGAATGACTTGGCACAAATGTGTCCGGAGGAAGATCCAGACATCATCCAGGAAAAAAACCACAACAGACAGCTGGGAGGATCCTAGCAAGGAAAGTGGCACAAAGTGGCACCATAGGTCTCATCAGCAGGGAGATGGAAAAGAAAATGGAGTTTCTGGCAGAGATTAAAATGGAGCTGCTAACATGAGGAACTGGAGAAAGGTAGACAGCACTTGGGATGCATTGGGTGAGATGTCTGCAGTGAAACTGTGTGAGATCGTGGCGACATCTTAACTGGGATTGCATTTGGCTTGGCCTCCTTGGATTCAAGGAGGATGATGGAAGTGGAAACAAGTGATGGAGAAGATTTACTGGGACAGAAGTGGAGAAATGTCGTGTGAGAAGCTTCTCTGCCGCATTGGGAAAGGGCATTACAGCTGCTGCCTGTGAATCCTTCAGTGGTAGAACAGAGGGAGGTCTGCTTACATGGATGGTTTGTGGTGATGCTTGAGCAGGTGAAAAAGGTGTGGGAATTATGAGTTGTTTTTAATCCCTGAAGGAACTGGCACAGTCTTTGCCCGGGCCCTCTGTGTGTTTGCGTAAGGAGTGGTGGAGCAGTTGGAGAGAGGTGTTGGACTTTACCCTGCAGTACCCATTGCAACTGTGTATTTCAGGGAGATCCAGGTTTTCCTCTGGGTTTTCTAGAGGTCATCGTTTCTTGCTGCCCAGTGACAGCGTGATTTTTGAGTCTGAGACGCATGCATGCAAACAGCTGTGGAAATTACTGGTCAGAGCATCCTGGCACAGCAACAAAAGCAGATGCATTAAAAGAAACCAGCATGGGAAAGGAGAAATACCCCACGCCCTGTTTCTCTTCAATGCTGGTGAGGTTTATAAGTGGTGATAGCAAAGAGCAGAGTGAATACGGAAAGAATCGAGAGTGCAGCAGAGTTTAAAAGGCAAAACTTTAAATTCATTAAGGACTTCAATCTGTGCATCTTATTTTGGTTACCTTTATCACGAGCCTTTAGCCCTGAGAAACACGCAATGTCAAATGACTTATTTTCTGTCTGTTATTGGGAAACTACTGAAAGCCTGGGAAGGAGATGGTTGTATTTAGAGGCAGGAGGTAATTGCAGGTGACAAGCAGTTGCTAGTGACTTTCTGTCTGCGTTTCTTGCTGTAGGGCAGGAGGTGTCATGGCTCAGTGGAGCAGCTTTTGCAGAGATTCTGTGGCAATAGAACTGCCTGCTGCAAGGGGTGAAGTCAAGTTCCTGATGCGGGTACGCACCCTTCGAAACAGCCCGCCATGACAAACATCTCTGGTATTTCCATGAGCATTCAGCTGACCACGAATGCCGGCGTTAAAGTTGCATCGCGGCGTTTGTCTTCAAAACTGTTTTCTTTGCAAACATCACACCCAGCTGTTTGTCTGCTCTTTTCAAGCGGCCGATGTCCTACACTGGTCGTGCAGTGTGTAACAACGACTTCAAGGCCGGAAGCTTTTTGTGGAGTTAATATTTATCCAAGACTCGCTAATAAACAAATACTACCTATAATGGGACTGCATGGAACTCACTTGCTGAAATTTTCTAGATATAAGTAATCCTGAAAGCAAACAAAATAACTTGGTGGAGTTAAATCCCCGAGCTAACACTGAAGA